ATGCTTCACAACGAGTTCCCACAAGGTCGGCAAGATACTCCTGTGGCTATGTCAATACCAGGGCAGATGCAGACCCCAGCTACACAGGCGCCGACGACGGCAGCTCCACAGATGCCGATCTCACAGGTGACGCCGCAGCCACCCCGCAGGGATGCTGATTGCCACATGACGGTCGACAGCAGCAGCTCTGTGGCAGCAACATCGGTAGCCAAGTCGGTGCCAAGGACGGAATTACTCTCGAAGGAGCAGGCCAAGGTTTACGAGAGCGAATGCAAGGCGGCCAGACACAATGAATGGCTGGAACAGCAGAGGGCAGCGGCAGCAGCTCATCAGCACAACTTAATGTTACAGCAGCAGAACCGGCAGTTGCAGGTCCAGATTGAGTGCGGGCGTCGAGAGCACAGTGGAGAGCAACAGGAATTAGCACATCAGAGGCAGCAACTGGCAAGCCGTGAAATGGAAGTGCAGCGCTTCGGGCAGGAGGAGATGGCCAAGATCACGACGATCATGCAGCAGCTCCAGCGTCGTTCAGAGGAGGTTGACGAGCAGCGCCAGGCGTTCATGGAGATGGACAAAGCCAAGCAGCAGAAAGATACCGAGGACATGGAGCAGTGGAAGCGTAGTCAGCTGGCAAGAGTGGCTTGTGAGCTCAAAGAGGTGCAGGAGATGAAGGCTGAGAACGACGAGCGGTACCAGAAGGTTTGGCTCGAATTAGCGGAACAGCGTCAGCAAGATGAAGAACGACAACAGCAGCTCGTTGAGGCAATCCGATCAGCAGAAGCTCGCACGCAGCATTATGAAGGTGAAATCGGACGGCTTCGTACTCAAAAAGGAAAAGGATTTACCCCGCGATCGAATCGAACGAATCCATACGGTAAGACGGGAGTATCTAGAGTTCATTTTGGTAGCAGTGTAGAGAATGAGACGGAGAAGTTTGAAGCCGAACTGCTCGAGCAAAAGAGGCAGGCTGAGCGCGACAGCGAGATGTACATTGACTACGAGTGCCAGAGGTACATGGCGGGCTCGCCAATATGTTCCTCAATTTACTCCTCACCACCCTCTACCATGACTCGGGCAGTTGATGCTGCGCTTGCCGACGAGGACGCTGCTCGACTGCAGGATGAAGCTGATTTTCAAGAATGGCTACGTGCAGAACGGCAAGTCTATGCATTTGAAGAGGTACGGGTATCAGCGATCCGAAATGCAGAATACAAGGAGGCAGAGCAACGTGAGGCACAGCAACGAGCTGAACACCGACAGGAAGTTCAAGTTGACTCTGTGCACTCTTCACCGACGGTGGTACCTGAACTATCAGTTGAAGTTTCTCGTGACGTGCCTCCAAATGGGTACTCCACCACGATGGACTCTGCAGATGCAGTCTCGGTAGAAGATATCACTGACGCAGCCCAAAGGTACGATCGTGAAGTAGCATCTGAACTTGAGGCCATTCAAGAGGAGGAAATCAGCCTTCTGACGCATGACAGGAAGACAGCCAGAGAAGAACAAGAGGAACAATACCAGGAGGAGTTAGTCAAGTACGGACTCGAGGTTGTACAGCAACTTGCGGAAGAGGTTGGCCACGGAGATGATCATCACGACTGTGAACGTCGGGATGTTGCAGATGTCGACGATGAGGTACCTTCCGACGTGGCGCAGCATGCATTTCGTTCAGGAGAAGAGGACACTGACAGGAGCACGGTGCACAAAAGGCCAGCTCGGAAGTATGGGAGACAATTCTTGTACCCGCGTGTTCCGCCTCTTACTGAAGATAGTCGCACACGTGATGAGAAGACGAGAGGTGGGGTCGTTACTACGAGTGGCGAATGGTCGTCAAGTCAGGCTATCGAGCACACGGGAGTTGACGACTTACAGCGTTCTCGAGTACCTCTTGATTCACGTCATCAGCAACCCGCGGACGTTCCTCCTGGTCACAGCGGGGATGAACCAGGCGCGTCCCAGCGCCCCTGAGCGCGTGGGAAGGGTCTCAGCCAGCGTCGGGGGCTGAGACCTTAGCGGAGACTATGGCCCACGCTTTACGGGTTCCCAGTCTTGGACTGAGTGGGCTGGGGACTGCCGTCAGAGTAGATGCTCGATTTCTAAGTGACTTTGCGGACTCGTCCGCACGTATACCTCAGCAAAGGTTGGGAAGCGGAGATGCTCCAGTGGTTTGCGGCAATCATGACGTACAGCTCATTGAAGACACTCCGAGAGCCGACGAAAGGCTCGGGCACCTTGACGCCCAGGTCTCACCTCAGTATAATTGCTATGGACGTTTTTGCTCGCTGGAGACGCCCGAGCCACTACACTTGGTGTTTCAACGGCTTCGATGGCACATTCAGTTGCAGCGGAATCTTGCTGGCATGTCGCTCCACGAGCATAGCATGCTGGCCATGTCCCTTTCGCGGAGATTGGAGAATGCAGTGTGCAAGGTCTTCATCTTCTGCGACGGCTCCTATCACGACAGTGAGCCTACGAGTTCAGCTTGGGCTTGCACATTGCT